AAGAACCGGATCGAAGACGAGCTGGAGATTCGGTGGAGTGAGAGGCTGTTGCGATCGCAGGACATTGAAAACCAGGAGTTTGGTTGTTACTTTCATCAATTGCGAGATGTGGGTCGTTTGGGACGGTGACCGAAGACAAAAGAATACATATTGGTGAAGGACGGGAGGTGGGGTAATCTGTGAGTGGAGTTTGCGCAGTTGCGTTAGCATAGAAGATAGACATAGCAGGAGCAGTAGTAAGCAGTGTGGTCCATGCTTCCTCAGTAGGCGTGATACTACCCAGTTACCCAGGCCGAAGTAGAGGGTTAGCTTAAGGGCCCAACCCTGAGCCTTTGGTCACAGGTTTAACCTACAAAGCAGCAGGGGGTGTGAGGCCTCATAAACCGTTGGGAATCGATGGCCAAATAGATCGTTCATACCCTTTTCGGTCTGTGAAGGACCACAGGCCTATAGCACCCTTGAAATATTATGCCTCTCAGGGAGGGGCAAAGGGCAGTGACTTTATTTAGTGGCGAGTCACATCTGCCATATCGCAGTGTTGTTAAACAGACGTTGGGGGCTTTTTATATGGAGAACGCTTGCCAGGCAAAAACTCGCCACGTCCTGGAACACTGCCGCCGAACCATTTGTTGAAACGGGAAAATCCGATCCACCCAGGTGACACCACGAGGGTGTTGTTCGGCAAGCCAACCACTGTCTCAGGTGCATTGTCTCGTGTCGGCTTCGAAGGTATTAGGCGTAACAAATCGGACGAATGTTTATCACTCCGAAACTTGGACGGCTTCAACAGAATACCTCACTCAACTTGTTACCTTTTCCTGTGCTGACTTTCAGCGCCGGTAGTTATTGAGATATTTCCACTGTTAAGCCTAGGCCGTTTGTTCCACAATCGTTCAGGCGAACCGTGTTTGACCACTTTCGTATACTATTGCACCCAAGTATTGGATCCGCCGTGACCCTGAACACTGACTGACACTTCTGATCTAATATGTGTGCGGATATTAGGTGGTAGGCTGTGTCACTTTACCTGCCAGAGCAGTAGGGTGCAAATACTTAACATCATTGATCCAGCAATTTTCATTTTCTGAAGTACTTGCAGGACATATTCGTCTTGACGTAGTTGGCCTACCAAATTTATAGAAATCTACCGTCCTTTACTGATCCGGGTAGGCCATTTTACTCGCTGATCCCACATGGTCTCATTATGTAACACTTCATCCGAAACGGTTACTCATGCCTTTGTTATTACATGGATTTTATTCTTCATCGTAATACCACCAAAATTAGACGTTTACTGTTTATTTTTGCACTGCTCTGTGTCTTGGTCTACATTGTTGGTTGAACCTTTCTATCCAAAACAAGTTACCAATCCGCCGTAAAAGGGTCTTATTGTACATTTTGAGCGACAGACGAAATCCGCCAGCACAGCTGGCTCATCGGCTTTATGTTGGTTTGAAAGCAATCCAGTCATTCATGTTGGCGTCAGTGTTACCATCAACAATATGTCGGATGTTGCCCCGAGCGACCCTTGCACTACCAGACAAGCCTCGGTGTTCGCTGTCTGGTTGCATAGTAAACTTGCTCTCCTCTGTCACAGAGTTTCACGTCTTCCTCTTCACCTAGCGCAGCCATCATTTACTCATTCGAATCGGGTTATCTCCTCATGTTCAGCGGTTATATTTTTACTGAATTATTTCCTATGAAATTGGTTTTGGTTACCCAAGTGGTTTTAGTGCGCTTCGTAATTCCTTCCAGAGGTGCCGCACTGTGATGTTTGTCAGTTTTACTGTCGCTACACTGTGATCGGTCAAGGATACTCCGCGCCATTTGGCGGTCCAGGAATTACATCTATGGGATCAGTACTAACGAAGCTACGACTCAATCCGTGGTTTCAATTGCACTGCAACATCGCCGGCACCTGTCGCTACCATCCACTCACTGCATGCCATTTCCAACGGCATTGTTTTGTAGGACCAATAAGCTAGCCAACCTTCATGAACATGTGTCCTCATCGTGGCACACTCACTTACGGTAACCGAGGTAAGGCGTGCGGCTAGAACAAAGCAAGTGAGCGTCACTGGCTCTCTATTTCACGTGAGCAGACAAGGACGGCGTTCGTTTGCAACAGCCACCCTCAATGGACTTTATTCCAAATAACTGCAAATGTGGTGAGCACAGATGCACACACCTAGTCAGAAGAGACCTTATTTGTGTATTCTGCGTTCTCCCGTTTCACTCCTGTTGCACTGCTTTACGCCAAATACGATATAAGCGAGAGAGCAACCTGACTGATGCGCGCTGGTTTTGCCAAACCTGCAGATCAATCTTAATAGTCAAATGTTTAATATCGCTGATGAAAAGTGTGAAAAGCTGACCGAAAATGTCCATAAAATGGCGAGTTTCAGGGCTATGTCATTAGGATCTAACAACACCGATCTTGTTCTACAGCAAACCCCTCATGTCAGTATGTCGATGCGTAAAGTCAGTCTCACTAACCGCCCAACGGCTTCTGCATCACCTACTCCGACAATTACTAACCCCTTAATTAGGCGAGCCACATCCAGCGTGACAGCTGCTAACATATCCCTAGATGTTACATCTCACGAGTTGGTCACAATACATGCAGTCCAGAGCCAGGTAATATATGAATTATTTACTTGATAAAATGCCAAAGTAAACACCCGTAGTTCCGAGTTCCTATTCTCTGCGGATGATATCAAGCTATGTCGAGTGCTCAGGGTACCGAACGACTACGAAAAACTCCAGCGTACCTCAGCACGATTTCAAACCGATCAACGCTGAATACACTACCGTTCAAGGTGGAAAAACGTGTTAATCAATTTCAACATAGGCATGACTACGTGCATTTGCTTGGAGCAGGGATATTGCGAACTACTTCCTAGGAAAGCGGCATTGGTGTACTCATTCATCCTGAAGCGGCTGCGAAAATTGGCATCTAACACTTCGACCTGATAATGTGGTCATTCAGGAGTTTTGATCTATCAGTCTTTCAAATGATGCGCAACCATTACACGTGACCTCATGTTAAATAGTCATCCAAGCTGGGCAACCTTGTTTGAAGCGCGACTTTGAATTACTTGAGGGCCACAAGGAATATCATGGGCCTACGAAATCTGCCGTACGATTAAAGACTGAAGTCACTGGAGGTTCTCAGTTTAGGCTGCGGAAGGCAGTACGGTAATCACCTATTACCTATCAATTATTGAACGACTCTAATCACATATACCATCATTTGCTGAAACAGCCACGACACCAATCTCAGAGGTAACACTCTGAAATTCTGTGCACAGAACAGCCGCCTGGAATTCCTGCGGAATTGTTTCGTGAGTATTCTTGGTTTTTCGTTTCTCACGGAGTACATCAACTATAACTATCCTCAAGTTACCACGTCGTACGCATTCAATTCCCACTTACACTACTGTTATTCAGCGGCGCGTCTGATAGGTAAACGCTCAAATTGACAACTCACATATCAGTTGATCTTGTAGTTTAACCCCCACCATTCTGCGGGACTTGTCAAGCAATTGCATTTTTACCTGTGATAAAGCATTGTCCATTGTTCAATGTTTACTTACCGAGTCAATAGTGCATGAGATCCCAATGTTATGCTAATCGGTTGAAACAACACTGTTGCTCTGTTTGAAATACACGCGCTATTCACTAGGCAAAACTGACGAGTACCTCCGGACTTGCACATTTCTCCATTCGGTACCATTCGTATGGACGCAATCCGAATATCTTTGATAAAGCAATATGCAAACCATTTCATGGTCTTATCTCAGTACACCACTTTTTCGGTTTGAAGAAGAAGGAATTCAAGCATGCTGTAGGTACTGGTCGTCTTAAACCTGTTTGCTTTGAGCCAACAATTAAACGTTCAGACTCAATCATTCCTGTTCAAGCTTTTGCTGTATCCGCTTTGTAACTTCATATTGAGCAGCCAGCTGATACGGACGCATTTGCACTCGCTCGATAAACCATCCGAAGCACACATTCATGTCGTGCTGCGTCACTCTTCTTTCTACTATCTACATTGCCTCGTATTCCGTTTCATCGAACGTGTTTAATTATCAGTACACGCCCTAAGCGGAGTCCTGATGTGGGTAATAGTACATTATTTTCATCTATTGCGTCATCATCTGCTTATTAGACAATCACTCCTCGTTTAGAAAACAAAAAGTTTAATGTATACTTCCTCAATTTCGCACTCACGGCTTTCTGGAAGCCACGCGGTACCGTTTCCACGGGCTATCACTGCTCTTGCTTGTTTGTCGATCAAAACTAATACACAGAAATATTACCGGCTTCTACTTACTTTGTGCGAGTCGGAGAAGTTGATAGCTTTGTCATGCGAAATTCGAACTAAGTTGTGATTTGACTAGGTGTTTCGCCTGAGATTTGTATGCTGTCTGAAAAACGGAAGCCCTTTTTACCATAATCCCCTACACACTAATCTGCACATTGGCCGGTATTCATTATTAATTCTATCACTAGACCGTTTTGCAATGCATCGCCACAAATGTAGGTGCAATAGCACTTTATTAGAAAATCTTGGACCACAAACCCTCCAATTGACACAGCGGTTAAGAGTTTAGTTTACAGAAATGATCGGTAAGTTAGAGATTTTAGACGCATGGACAAATTGAGGTAGAATATGAATGTGGTTCAGTGCTTTAGTAGAAAATAACACACTAAATTAAGCTGTTCAAGCCATCAGTGATATTTGGTACACAGTAACTTGTACAGTAAACACGCAAACAAAATTTTTGAACCGTAGAAAGTAGCAATTGTTAGATATCAAGCAAAAATAGTGTATAAATAACATAGGGAAAAGCTAATTGTTGCTGAACAAAAACGAGGAGAGTAAACGTTTTAAGAAACGAATTAGTTTGTAAACAACAGCGGCAGCGAGGATTCATTTTTGTGAACACAACAAATTGGAATATGTTTGCCGACTAACTGTTGTTGGAAGTGTGTTCTTAAAAAGATTCTTCCGTCGTGGATAAACCGTCAGTGAGTACCGTGTACACTGAAAAAGGCAAAACACATTAGAAAACACATGCGAAAAGACTTAAAAGTACTTCAGAAGTGCTGTACACGATATAGTTACAGCGAATATGTATGCTTGAATGGGAAGAAATAAAATTGAAATGGCCGCGGTATAAATGATTAGCCGATGCGTAAAGTGTAAATATTTCAAAATGTTTACTGAAGCCAGACTGGTAACTAAGGTGAGTAATGGTAATCACTGCGAGTAAAATTAGCAGATCAAAAGTACCGATTTCTGTCCTTCTATTCATTACGGTGGGAGACATTTCCAGCGATGGAGATGGCGTGATTCTCCACAGGTATTTCACTGAAACAAATAAATTGAAATATTTACTTTTTGCGATAAGATCCATAATAAACACCGTTTGTGTGACAAGCAACAGCAAACCAGGCCTTAGTTATCTAAATTACTCAAAGTATATTTGTCCGTTTACCTTCATTATAGGCACCTTCTGTGGCTATGGGTTCCCTAATCAAATATTACAATAGCCATGATTGTTCAAATGCTATCCTGTCTGGGTCATTCAATGAAATTAGCCTACTAGTGTATGTTAGGCGCAGATCTCAACAAAATATATTTCCCACGTTGTGCCTGCTATGCTGAAATTTTAGTCATCACCAGGTGTTTCCTCTTCCATGGAACACAACAACAACAACAACCTAGTGGTTTTTCTACTCTCTGTCCATTCGCCTTGCACCATTTATATACAAATTCGAAATATATGTTGAATTGCCTGTTAAAATAATCAAAAGATGCAGCTTATTGATGTATTGTTTTTAAAACCGATGTGAGGCTTAGCAGAAATATGTATCGAGGCCTTTATTGTGAAATACTTGACATAAAACCTGCCCAACTGATACGAAAATAGACCTGGTTGGTTGGGCGATGGTAACATTCGTTCATTTGTGCTAGACGTATCAAGGCGCTTCACAACAGCTTATCTTGAATGCCACTGAAGTTATCGTGCGAACAAAGCAAACATCATCAGCAATTCGCAACACGGCTTCATGCATGGTCGATCCTGCGCAACAAGCCAGACTGACTTTTTAAAACCACACAACGACTGCCATTGACGACGGAAACAGTGTCGTAATCCTGTTCCTGGATATGCAAAAAGCCTTTGGTAGAGTGCCTCACAGATGGTTACTAAACAAACTAAAGGCTATAGGCATTGGAGAACCGATGTTCTCTTGGCTGTCTTCATATCTAATTGCTAGACAGCAGGTTGTGCGCATAGGCGACCATTTCTCTAAATCGAAAGCAATCACTAGTGGAGTGCTTCAAGGGAGTGTTCTTGATCCACTTCTTTTTTAATTTATATTAACCATATACTCCAGAGAATAAGAAATGGTGTTGCATTTATCTTTGCTGATGACATTAAAGTTGTTTACTCACAACCGCGTGCAAATACTCAGGATGACCTCTCCGCCCTTGACTCCAGGTGCCAACTGTGGCAGATGTCATTTGCCGTGGACAAATGTCATATTTTGTCGTACAAAAGCCAAGTACCGCCAGACAGTTTATTACTACAAGACGCATATATTCCGTAATGCAGGACAATTCGCGACTTGGGCGTGCGATATTCAGTTACGTTTAACTTTTCTGAACACTGTGACTTCCAAGTTTCGAAAGCCATGAAGACCATCGGTTATATCTGCCATCATTTCTACCTCACGGAATCTCGCCTATCGCTTTACAAAACATATATATTGCCGTGTATAGAATACTGTTCAGCGGTATAGTCTAATCTACGGAAATCTGAGCAGGACGCTCTTGAGAGAGTCCAGAGACGCTTTACGAAAAAGCTATGTGGATATTCCTCAAAGCTGACATACAAGAAGCGATGTGATAAACTTGGATTTGACCCAGTTTGGCTTCGGATAATGAAGCTGAACCTATGTTTTCTTTACGGAATCATAAATTGTCAAATTCGCAGTCTTGAAAACCGTGTTTACATATCTGTAAGCAGCAGATACCCAATACGTAACAAAGAGGTAAAGATCATGGTTCCAAATTTACTACGAGAATCAGAGAACCGTTCTTTCTAACCCAATACTCAAAAATTTGGAACAAACTTCTAAATGATATCAGAGCATGCTATACACTTTGCAACTTTAAGCTTGCTATTAGTAAGAATGCAACCGTCCAAAATGTGATTAATATGTTCGGGACATCACAGTCCCCAAAAAACGCATTCGAAAACAGTATCCATAGCGTCTGAATAACTTTCCGAAACACATACACATAACATTTCGGACAACAGCCCCTTTCATTACATTTTTTCTCTCGGCCCAAATATCTGTCATGTGCTTGTGAAGAATCCTGATTCAATGGCAGGAAAAAATAGAAGCACTATTCTGATCACTCTGCGTGACCTAATTTGCAATTGCGCCCATGTTTATCTCTGAAAATGTATTGATGAAATGTCATAGAAAAGTTGTACCATTATTTGATCTGTTCCTTCTAGGGAACAGCTTCTGGCATCGTCGGGGAATGTACAATTTATTTATTCATTTAGGCGAGCCAGATAATTAAAAGTCTAGGTCATGAAGAGTACTGGGAATTTGCCGCAACTTAAAAGACTACTTTCAGTTTTTGTTTCATCCTTTCACTGTACTTACTTATTGCCGTTTTACTGCTCTCCGCCATGGGGTTATATTCACCTGCATCCCTTATTTCTTCTCCACCTGATGGTTCACGGTGCGTAAGGTCGCCACCGTTAGCGTTCTTCGTTCCATACCACTTGTATCCAAAGGGAATATGACCAGCGGATTCCGAACCTACTCTGTCACCAGTATAGGCATTCAATTACGTGCCAATCTGTAGACTGCCACGTAGTGACCTGGCAAGTCCTTCCTTTGACTGTGAGCTGCAGTGCAAAATATTCTAAATGTTTATTTTTACAAACTAGATATGCAATTGAGTGGCCCGTTTGTTTGAAGATTGCTCACGTCTACTTGAGTCAACATAAACTTACGCCTTCCGGGCAAGGACCACCATCCAATAAAAACAGCCAATACGGGCTCTGCACACGCTCACATCTTCCCTAACTTGCTCATGATTTGGCACCACAGATTTAGCCGGCTGTTTTATAACTCGTTAAATAAGTGTTTACTTAGCTTATTTGTTGTGCTCGTGATTGTTTACCGTCAAGCGTTTGTTCGTTCATACGAATGCCCGAAACCCACGCGATAAATACTAGCAGTCAATTAAATAAAATCACCAGCCCGGTCTGTATGTTCGAATTTCAAAACTTTTGCATGTATTACGAGGAAAGTTGGTTCCGTTTCTGGAATTATTTGTGCATTTACCATTTAATTGCTTTACTTTTATCAGGTTGTCATATTTAGTATATTTGTGGACTGCCATTTTTAACTCAGCCGGAGTATGTCGGAGTAGCAATATGGAGAGTTACTCATTTGTCTAAGTTAAGTAATACTCTTTAAAATAATCTTTTCGTTTTGTACCTAGACTAATACATCAGTTTTCCTAATGGAAAGTTGAATGTGGAAGATTGAGTCAATTCTGAGCGCGTTTCCTGCTACCGTCCTCGAAAATTGTCTAAGACGTATCCAGTAAGCTCCATTTTATTTGTTAGCAAAGCACTTATTTTGGGGAATTTAGTTTGGGAGAGTGTGGGTCCACGCAATAGATGCATAAGTAACTCAGATTATTTCTCTTCTACTGTTTTACATAAGATTGATCATATCTGAGTGCGCAGCGACCGCTCATCTCCGCTATGGTTTTAGTTTCACAGCATTAGAATGCTGCATTCAACTGATGCTAGTTGTATAAAACATGGACAAAGTATTCCACCTAGCCGTCCTACTTCAGGTTTAAAGATGGGGACCTCCAAAGTGATCAATCAAGATACGATTGGTAGCTTGTTGGCCTTTCCATGACCTACTACTTCGCATTGTGAAGAAGGCGAATCAAGAAGCAGTGTGCCAGTCGATTCAAGGTGACTCACAGTCAAATACAACAGCTCAGTTGGAACAGGTCAGTTGTTCTAAGCAGATGACTCGTATGCTTTCGACGTTGCTTCGCGAAATCCAGCGAGTTGCTGGCCCTCTATTCTTGTAGGCATCAGGGATAAAGTGACAGTGTCGCGTACATCTTCCAAAACCATTGGTACTAATACTTCTAATTTTCCTATTGGTCCCTCAGAGGATTGTGACCACAGTGAATATAATGTTAGAATGCTTTCCATACTAAACGTTGCGTAGAGTTGACGGGCTATCTGTCAGGATATCAGAGGGAACAAATCGAACTGACCGCCGAGACAAGCTATGTTCGATTTCGCTATAGGTTTGCAGCATGGAAGGATTCGAATTCGCATACACCCGACTCCAAGCTAACCACGCCATTACGGCATTCATTGCTGTTTTCCTCAGTGTCCACGTCAGGTATTTCTTGTTTGACACAAAGACGCGCTGCTTACTGTCATTTTGACGGGATTTAAACCATTGACGAAGTTTGATTGTATCATCGTTAGTACGGCAAGAAAACCAAACGTTACATCATTACATGCGTTATGAATAGCTCACACGATAAGAAAATCCGGAAAACAAGCGTAATATCATAGTTAATAGGTCCACTGGTAACAGAGCAAATCAGCTATTTTGTGTTGAGGATAAACGTTTATGCGTCACCTCCTTCATGGACATTTGGGCAGAGATGCGGTCGTCCCTGGCAGCGGATGCGGTCAGTTGTCTCAAGTTATGTACAACCTAGGCACTCTAAACGGTTTGATGACCTCGTAAGAACTGCGTATTTTGATGAGCAATCTGAGTCGACAGCAAGACTTTCGATGGGTCATTACTGGTACGACCAGACCCTCCGCAATTATGTCACCGAATTGAACTTTGAAATGTCACACACGCACATATGCTCGTGCCAAGTTAGAGGTTTTGGGGGACTTTCAGTTGACCGATGATTCGTTTTGTTGTGCTTTTCACCAATCTACCTTTAGATTCTATGAGGAGGCCTAGAATAGCCTAGAATGACATGACCAGATGGCGACCTCTCACTAGTCAAGACAAGATTTAGTTCTCACATAGTCAACAGTAGCCAGTAGGTGATTGCTAGATATAGATAATGAACAATGATTTATTCCTGGTAAAGAAGCCGTTTCTTGACCAGTGCCACAGGTTCGTAGACAGAAAACGTCACTATGTGAGTTGTATGCTTGAGCGTCAATCCAAGAAATGATGAAAATAGCATTGAACTCCGAACTGATGGCAGGACATTTGCTCAACATGTAGCACAAAAAGCGTAAAAAGTTGCCATCCAAAGTAGGTAGGAATTCGATAGGCACTGGACCACAGATAGACAACATAACACTGAGCAAGC